CCCCCCAACCACACCACCAAACCACTCTGAATCCTTTGGGGTGGTGCCAGTCTCAGCCTCTTAGTTTTCACACGCTCGGCCTGTGGGCTGAGGAGATGCTTGAGATTCGTCTCCCCCTCCCTATGACCTTGAACCTCCTCACTCAAGTCTTCCATCACACCTTCCTCTTCATGGCCGATCACTCCTGGGGAGGATAACAATGGTGCTGAATTGCCTCCATATGTACACAATCTGCTTGACAGTGGACTGGTGGAGTCCAAACTCTTTGGAAAATGTTCTATAACCTTTTCCAGCCCGGTGAGCATCAACAACTGTTTTTTGGAGGTCCTCACAAATCTCCTTTGTTTGACCCATGACACACTTCCACATACCTGTGAAGATCAGACTTTGATAGTGAATACCCAGAATTCTGTTCTTTAAATAAGGAAGGACCTCCCACACTCACACCTGATTATCACTCCATTGATTGATACACCTGACTCTAATTTCCCCTTCAAATGAACTGATTATCCTAAAAGTCCACCTACTTTTGCCATACACAAATATGTAGCTTTGGATCATTTTCTGCAATAAATAAATGAACAACTACGTTTTTGACTCATTTGTTTAATTGGGTTCTCTTATCAACTTTTAGGACTTATGTGGAGAACATGTTTTTCTCCATGTTTTTCTCATGTTTTAGGCCACATTTATGCAGAAATATTGAAAATTCAAAAAGGTTCACAAACTTTTAAGCACCACAGAAAATACATGAAAATCCCCAGATGAAGTACTGTACATAGAAATCCAATTGATTATATTATTGGCAAAAGGAGGTGAAAGAGCTCAATTATTAACAACAAAAACATGGGCAGAGCTAACTGTAGAACAGATTAGATATTGCTCATATGCAATTTCCAAGTTAAGCTAAAGTGGAAGAAGAAAGCTACCAGTTTCCATAACATGATTTTGAGCATATACCCACCATTTTTAAGAACTTTAAGAAGTCTTGGGCCTCATTGATAAAGGATCAGAGGAACTAAGGAATGAACTTAAATAATTTGTTAACAATGAATGTGAAAAGAGATTGGCAAAGATCAAGAAACAGAAGAAAGCAAATTGAATGTCAGAACAGTGGAAATTGCCAAAACGAAACGAGATGAGGCCAAGAAAGGTAAAAATCTTAGGAAGGAACTTAATGAAGAATTTCAGAGAGCTGTTAGAAGAGACAAAACTGTAAATGAAGATGGAAACAGACATGGAAAAATAATGAAAGTCTTCCAAAAGTTCTCTGAACCGAGAAGGAGGTTCCAACATCAAACTGGTATGCTAAAGGACACTAATGGACAGTCCTTTAGGAGGAGAACCATTTTAGTTGATGGTGGCAAAAAATCAGAAGGAGACTGGTAGAGCCTTTTCTGAATAATTTTTTTATTAAAAGTCACAAGCTTTCATGAGCTGCAGCTCATTTCCCCAAAGGAACAGAAGATCAAACAAAGATGGAAGAAGTACACTGAAATTCTGTACAATAGAGATCTCAACATCCAAGCTACTATAGAAGATACTCCTACTTACAAAAACCACTAGTACTAGAAGATGAAGTTAGATCAGAACTCTGCTCATAACCAAGTCAGAAGGTTACAGGAACTGATTGTCAGGTTCAGCCCAAAAACAACAACAAAACAGTCCAGTCCAGTGTAGTTCCTTTACTGCTTACACGCTATAGACAGAATCTCGCCAGACTAAAGCTATCCTAAAGCTACTAGTGGATATACCCCGTGAGAATCTAGGGAGGGGCTAGCCTCAGCCTCGTCTTCTCATGGTCCTGCTGCGGGCTGAGAAAGTGCTTGCCTTGCCCCTTCCTCTGGAATGCACCCCCCCCCGTCCTGATAGCCTTGATCTCTCGTACCAGTCTCCTCCTCACCTATGCCTTCCATTGCACTGATGGAATATCTACGGAAATATGTCAAACAACAGAAGAAAATTCAAGAAAGGTTCTAACCAAGCTATGCTAGCAAATCTGGAGAATAGATTTGTCTCTAACAGTGTCTAACAGATTGGAAGAGATCAATCTACATATCGATAGCAAAGAGAGGGGATTTAACAGAATGTGCAAACTACTGTACAATATCCTTAATTTCACATGCTAGCAAAATAATGCTTAGGATCATTCAATGCAGATTAGAGCATTACAGGAAAAGGGATATGCCAGATGTTCAAGCTGGCTTTAGAAAAGGCTGAGGAACATGAGGCATTATTGCTGATGCATGCTGAACAACTGAGAAAGCCAAAATACCAAAAAGAAGTCACGATGTGCTTTACTGATTATACAAAGGCCTTTAATTGTGTACATCATGGCAAGCTGTGGAATGTATTTAGAAAAATAAGAATTCAAGAGCATCTCACGGATGAAACATAAATAACCTGTGTTATGCTGATGACACCACACAGTAAAAAAACAGGACTAAGATTAAATATAAACAGGATCAAACTAATGACAACAGGTACACCAACCAGCCTTAGACAATGAAGATATTGATGTGGTGGACAGCTTCTGCCTTTTAGGCTCAACTATTAACAATAAAGCAACAACCAGCTATACTACATACTAGCACTTGATAAAGTAACCAAGAAGGCCTTGAAAAAGATATTCAGATGCCATGGTGGGCTTATACCTACAGATCATGCAGAGTCATGCAAGCAGTAATTTTCCTTGTGACACTTCTGCAGGGAAGTGAAAATTTTACTTTGAAGAAGCAGGATAGAAAGGATACTGATGCTTTTGAACGCTGGTGTTGGAGAAGACTCCTGAGAATACCATGAATACCAAGAAAAGAAACAAATGGATCACTGAACAAATCAACCAGATTTCTCATTTGAGGCACAAATGACTAGACACACTATGTGAAGATCTCTCTGCAGAAGTCTATAATGTTCGGAAAGGCAGAAGAAAATGGAAGAAAAGAAGGACCAGCAGCAAGATAGATACATTCAATTACAGTGCACCTTTGGAAAACCTTAAGGATCAGATTTTGTTCAGATCCTCCTGGAGAGAAGGAGATCCACCTGCTTAGATGGCTCAATTGCTGAGGGGGCCATTTTTATTCTCCCTTCCCCTATGGTTCGTATTTTTGGTTTTTCCATAGTATTTATCAATGTGGTTTTTTATATTTCTTCTGTTGTTTTTATATATGTCTTTTATCTGATTGTTGTACACCACCCAGAGTCACTTCGGTGAGATGGGCAGCTATATAAATTTGCTCAATCAATCAATCAATCTACTAAGGGTTAATACCAACTTGATGGCACATAATGAATCAATCAATGTTACTAATAATATTATGATAGCAACCATATTCTCATCTTTCTGGGAATAAGGCTTACCAAATAGATATTTAAAAGATTTGTAAAACTGCAATACAAATAATTTAAATAAATATACTTAATAAAATAAAATATATTTTAAAACATAAAATCTGCACAATATAAACATTGAGAAACCAGCATGATCAGGAAACCTTAATGAAACATTAAAAAAAATCTTAAAGCATATTTAAAACTATAGAATCTGCTACTATTAAAATGTAGTGATGGCCCACCCATTTAGCCAATTTCAAAAGCAGAGTGGACAAACTCATGAAGGACTCTCAGTGATTATTAGTCTAGTACTGATTAGTACTTCTTTGATTACAGGCAGCATATATCAAATATCAGCTGCTAGGGAGCAACAGTGCAGAAGGGCTATCACTCTCTGGTTGTATAGGTCTATAAGCATCATGAATTTATAGGGAAAGAGCACAGTGTAACACAAAGTGTCAAACAAGATGGGGCACTGACCATTATGTTCTTAATTTCAAACACTTACGTATGTACTTACACTGAACAGCATAGGAAGCCAAGAGTACAGCAGTATTGTAAGGACAGGGCAATCTATAGAAGGTAAAAAACACAACCCAAAAATCTCAGCTATGAACTACAATATTTAAATCCAATCTGCTTTACCAATTTATTTAAATTAGTGAATGACCCATTTAATTGTGTGGATATGTTTCCTTATGAAAAGAAAACTTTGTATAGAACACACATTTTTCATGAGCTGTATCATGATATACTTCTCTGTTTTTTTTAAAAAAGAAAATATGTCTATCATATATGTTTATATGATTAAAAGTACAGTGGTACCTCGGGATACAAACACCTCTACTAGCGAACTTTTTGGGTTACGACCAGCTCCGGCTGCAAAAATTTACCTCAATGTGCGAACTCCGCCTCGGGGTACGGTCATTTTTCCGC